GGGGGAGGGGGGAGGGGGGGAATAAGAAAGAGCGACAAAAAGCGAGCAAATTTCTTCGATTACTAAACAGCAATCTATGCAAAAACACAAAAGAAGCTGCTAACACCGTGGATGAATCCGCTTGAACGGCTTTGTGGAATTATGTGGATGAGAGATGCTCAAAACAGAGAAGAGTGGAGAAGTTGCCAGCTGTAACAGTGGCAGAATCAAACAGCAACTGTTTAACGTAGCAAAGTGTCATAAGTAAATGTCCAAAAAAAGAGATGGTGAAACTTACAAGTGCCGAGCAATCGAACAACATATGAAACCCGTCCGATATCAATCCAAGGCTATTCGTCCAAAAGCCATACAAAAATTCTATGCCACAAAATGACTAAAATTTCAATAGTTTTTGCGGTCAAATGTACAGAAATTAAGAAACAGGGAACATTAATTACTGAGTGTGTTCCCGAAACGCTACCTTAAGATATATGCATAAATTTTAAAAGCTGTTGCGCTCTATGGCATCCGGCAAAATGCTGTTGCTGCTATTGCTATTGGTGAAATTAGTTTAAATTTTCATGGGCAAAATAATACAAAAAAAATAAAGACTTGAAGTTTACCAAATTAGCACAAAGAAAGAAGAATATTCGCCGGGAATCTGTATTCGCTAAAATTTCCGATAAAGTTTCTTTCATAAATAGCATTATAGATCTGGAAAAAAAAACGATTCATAGTGAAAATTTAAGAGTTTGAAGGCAACGTATTTGAATGCTACCCTCTCATTTACCCCAAAACACTTGGATCAGTTGTGATTCATAGTCCAGTTCGCCAACTATGGAACTGGAAACTTTCCTGTTGTTTTGACCAATGCTGCATCATCTGATAGTCAGTCTGTTAGTGGTCTTGAGGTTTATTTCATCTTCTGAATAACTTATCAGCTTAATACGTCCTCTCGGCCGGAGAAAACACTTTGACAAACTTTTAGCCGTTCCCAGGAGCGGATCCAGGGCGGCGTTTTGGGCAAGGGAGGGGGAGAGGCAGAACAGAAAGACAAGTGGGGTGGGGTGGGGGCAACCGGAGGGTGCGGAAGAGTCCTCTGCCGTTTTAGCATTGCTAACTTTGGCGATGAGAGGTGAAGGAAGGCGGGGCGGGAGGGGGGGGGGGGGGGGGAGAGCGAAAAGCCCATCGCCCCCTCCATCCGTCTGTGGCTATTCCATTTCCTGTCCATTTTCTATGTGGATAGCATAGTCATCTCATCCTGAATGCTGACATTCCTGGATCACGATGAGGCACTTCTCAACTTGGAGATTAATTCGCAATATATGTTTCTGACATATTTTCAAGACGTCCCTCCCATTGAACGCGGTCAATTTGAAAAATAGCTTTCGATGGAATATTTTTGAGTGTTTCTGATTCTCACGGAAAGCGAACACAGAGGGGGGTTTTGTCTTTTGACAATAGCAACAAAAATACTTAGGAACAATCAAAGCATTTAAAACAACAGTTTTGCTATATGGTACTTGAAGATTGTTTTCCAACGCAACAAACCTTGATGTTTTTTGCAAAAATGCTTCACCGTATGTGTAGAGCGGAATTCCAGCATCCGATAAGCCAACATAAAGACCACCTCGGGAACGTGAATTACTGGATGAAGTTAGTGCAAAAGAAGCTAAAAAATAGTAACAAAAGATGAGTACCGTACTGAACTCGAAATGATTATCACGGTTACAGAAATCAAGTTATTGTAATTTTACTACTGTAACTGAGGGCGGTAAAATTACAGTATTTTAAAATACAGTGAATTTTTTACAGTACCCTTACCGACTCCTCATCATCACCGTAATCTAATCAACAAACAGATCGTTACAATTAGCCTAATCAATGCAACGCGGCTTTAAATTCCTTGCAATGTGTTAATCATGATTATCAGAAAAATTGATCAGTTATGTTAATTTCCACAAATTCAAAAGCGATAAAAAGATGAGGAAATTACCTATTATGAAGCAAATAAATGTTAGGAGGACGCCGCCCGAGATAATGTGATGATCAAAAGTATCGTCGGTATACCAGACCGATGCAAATACAAAGGCACAAAAGAACATTATCACCGGACTCCAACGTGCTGATGAAATCACCGGATCAGCAACATGCTGCAATAGAACAACAATAAACACCTGCTAAAATACTCTTCATGAAATAGCATCTGCGAAATTGCGCAAATTTTTCGCGCAAAAGGCAAAATGCAAAGAAAAAATACCACAAAAATGAGGAATTGGTTCATATGAATTTCAAAAGTAACATTTAGGAGTGTTTAGAGAGGTAGAAAGTAGTAAAGACTGAGAGACATAAAGACCCCCAGGCATATGTCACCATCAATTTACCATCGAAATGAACGAATAGAATTATCTCACCGGAGGAGTTGAACCCTCGAGCTGCTGTATGACAAAAGTTCTACTTCCCACCAAATTCGCAGATCACTAGTAGCAGAAATAATCCGTGTGTTGTAGCCTAACACTTGGGCTCATATTGGCCGTGCTCTGGCCTCTTCCAGCATGTAGCAGAAAAGGCGTTGGTTGGGATGATGTTGTATTATAGGACAGTAGAAGTACCACTCTGGCTGCTTCCAGAGTGTCTCCGTTTAGAGGGCGAATACGGAGAAGGTTCTGTCTTCAATGATTATTGAAATTTATTAAAAATTCGCGATTCTGCTGCTGTTACTTGCGAATTCTTCACCCAGTAAATTCGCGATTCATGATTAATTACAAGAAAAATTCATGATTAATTATAAACTCATGATTAAATTTATTTTTTATAAATTCATGATTAATTATAAAAAAGAAAAAAAAAACCTGGAAACAAAACGACTCGGTGTAAAAATCGAAAACCATAACCAATACGGCGGCAACAAATAACATAAGTGCAAAGTCAGTCTTCGATTCAATATGTACCTAAAGTTCTTTTAGTCAACTGTCCGTGTTAAAAAACTCATGAACACGACCCCAAAGTTCGCCCAAACGAGCCGTTTGAAATTCCATTGCTAACAGGGGATACTAGGCACAGTCATGCTCAATCCCCTTACTGATTCATTAAAAACCCCGTCCTGGATATTCGTGAAAAGTCAGCAAACATAAATTATGAGCTACTTGTGGTAGCACTTCAAACACTACATTGTTTACATAGGGCTTGTGGCAGCACTTTCAAACATTTCTTACCTATTACAAATATTTCCTCAGTCCCCTTTCCCATCTTACTACGCTTCCCTTCGTTTTCTTTGTTTTCTTCCCCTCTTCATATTTTCTCTTCAACTTTTAATAGAACTGTGCATGAGGATTCAATAGATCCAACTGCAGAGAGATTGGTAGTATAATCGATAATACGCCAATTCGAAAAGAACCCAAACTAGTACAATGATGAGTTCCCACCTCTGTTCATCCACAACAGCGATAGCTTTTTAATGAACAAATGCGTTTTTTTATATAAAAGGGATTCTTTCAGCTCTTTCTAATTCTTCCGAGAAGCCAAGCCAGTCTGCATTCGTGGGTTTCCGTATTTATAAAGCTGATGCTCAGGCAAAGCTGACAACTCTCAGTTTGACCTACGCAGCTTTGTATTATATGCTCTCAGATTTACCTAAGTATCAGCTTCACAAATGGGGAAATCCGTTACTAATGGCGGGTTTTCCTTTTGCTTAAAGCCTGTGTGCAGCAGTTTTCAACTTTCCACCGTACACAATCTAACAAACTTACCAAAATTTGGCTAAAATAAGACAGAACGGAAAGAGAGTCGTCAAACATTATGCGATGCCTACGTAGTGTTAAACCAAGCGGACAAAAGTCGAAGAACTGCTTGGATGTTCGCTTGGAATTATGTGGATGAGAGGCGAAATGTAGAAAAAAAAAATGTTACTGTGCTCAACTACTGTCACTATCTCTATTTACACACTATTACGTAATATCGCTATCTCTATAACACACCACCACGTATTATTATTACCGCTCCAACATTCCAACAATTCTGACGGTACGATTACTACACACTATCACGTGCTATCACTATTACTACACATAATATCCGCATCATAATATCCACCCGATAGCCTACAGTAATTTTCGGGGCAAAAAAAATGTAAATACAAATATAATCCTGAAATTTAGGAACAAAATTTTCACCTTACACTGACTTCTCGGGCAAAACGATCTCAACGCCAAAATAATCTCAAAATTTTCGAAAAAAAAACCTACCTCTCCGACAGTGAAAGCAAGCAGAGCCATTGGTGCTAGAAAGATTGCCGAAAAAAGTGTCACAAGCGAATACAACCGCTTTGGGCCACCAATTTCAACAGCTAAATGGCGGAATGACGAATCATATGCCATTTTTACGAGAACCGCGAAAATAAGCAGAAAAACTCCTCCCTGCAAAAATAAGTGGATATCACTTTGTTCTCTCTCTCTCTCTTTTTCTTCTGTCTAAAAATAACATGTGTCTGTGGTAGAAGGGGGATGAGTAACATGTTTTTGCGGTACCTAAGAAATGCCTACCTTCCCACCTGGCTCCCCGTCTCCCCCATCTCTCCTCTCCCCCGCCCCTTCCCTCCTCGGTCTTTTGCAACAGTAATGTGGTACGTATTTTTAGACTCGTTCCAATTCGTTAAAAAAAGGACTCAATCCCAACACTTTTTCAAATTTTCCAGTTTTTTTAACTATGATTACATCCGATATATTCAAAAAGTGCAGGGAGAGTAACCACATCGGATTCCTAGTGTACAGAGTGCTATTAGCAGTAAGCTTTTCAATAAATAGTTAGATTTTTGCAGAGTATATAAATTTTGTGCCTGTTAGGAGTATAAATTCTATTAAAAGTAATACAAAGTACAAAAATCCTGTGCTTGTTAATGTATAAATTCTGTTGAGCTCTTAACTTTTTCGTAAGGAAAAATGAACGTCAGGATCAGCAGCAGCAGGCTGTTCACCACAAAAGGCAGGAAACTGGAAATATTACGGGTTAAATGATACAAAAATCACGAAGGGCAGGCTTACCTTGTGATCTGAAACTCCGGAATAATGGAAGAAATGATAGAATAAATGATTCAAAACACCCTGATGGCTGTGCGATGTCCCTGAAATAACAAATTTATTGAGCTACTAACAACTGTACAATACTTTTTTTTAAGGATAAGCAAAAATGCAATTAGGAAAAGTAAGAAGAAGTAATAATGTAAATGAAAAGATTG